GGGGGGTGGGAGGGAGAGAGTGTGTGTGTGTGTGAGTGTGAGAGAGAGAGAGAGGGGGCGGGGGGAGGAGTGGGGGGGTGGGAGGGAGAGGGCCGAGTGGACCCGGACTGGAAATCTCACACACACACCCAGCTTTAAACTTAAAATTCCACTCTGTTTAGGACATGAAAACACTCGGGTTGGCTGCTCTGTTCTCGGGGCGGGTCAGGGAGACGCAGTGAAAGGCAGACAGCAGGTGTGAGCTCAGTCAGCTGGAGGCCTCTGCCACTCGACTACAGCGGGCCTCACCAGATAGCGTTCCCTTTCATTCCTGCTGCCTATTAGCATACAGCTGTCTGGGGGGGGGGGGGGGGGGCTGGGGGAGGGTCTGTTGGCCGATCAGACGGGAGACAACCGAGTGGGAAAAAAAAAGTCGCACACAAAAGATCCTTTCAGAAACTCAAAATAAAAAAGGGGCCTCCCTCTCTCTAATGCACACCCTGCCCCCATTGACAGCTGTCGGAAGCTGGAGATGGCTTAAAGTCGGAACCAGCAACTCCCTGAATTGCTGTAGCGCCCCAAGGGAGCCGCCTCAAAGGGGACTCAAAGTGAAACGTGATGGTTGAGTGAACGGGTCACTTAGGCATAAAGCAATGGAACCTCGGCCAGGGAGGGAGGGGTTTTAAAAGAGGGGCGAGTGAGGGGGGGTTCAGCCTGAGGCAGCTGAAGATGGGAATCGGAGTGGGGGGACTGCGTCATGCCAGCTGGGCTTAAACTCACCCACGACTCTCTTCAGAGGGAGGTGGGGTCAGGTCCGCGCTCCAGCTCAGCGCCGGGGGAGCGGGCGCTGTCGGAGGGCCAACGCCGGGGGAGCGGGCGCCGGAGGGTCAGCGCTGAGGGAGCGGGTGCTGTTGGAGGTGGGAGCCCAATTCTCCCCCCACTCCCTGTGGGAGCGAGTGCCCCATTCTCCCCCGACTCCCTGTGGGAGCGAGTCCCCCATTCTCCCCCTTCTCCCCCCACTCCCTGTGGGAGTGAGTCCCCCACTCTCTCCCCCGACTCCCTGTGGGAGCGAGTCCCCCATTCTCTCCCCACTCCCTGTGGGAGTGAGTCCCCCATTCTCTCCCCCACTCCCTGTGGGAGCAAGTCCCCCTTTCTCCCCTCACTCCCTGTGGGAGTGAGTCCCCCATTCTCTCCCCACTCCCTGTGGGAGCATGTCCCCCATTCAAGTTGGACAGGAATCTCATAGAAACCTATAAAATTGTAACAGGAGCAGACAGGAGTTGGCACGGGGAGAGGGGCCGAGTGGACCACAGAAGTGAGGAATATGGTGTGCAGGTTCATGACAAATCGGGGTGGAGGTTGAACCAAAGAATATCCCAGGTGGGAAATCGGAGACCAGGCCCTCAGCAGGTCAACTGCGATCCTTATCGAATGGCGAGGTGGGCCGAATGGCCTTGTTTCTCCTATTGAGGCCATTCATCACCTCCTGGCTGTGCTGGCAGGGGTGGGGGGGGGAAGTCGTTTACTCCCAGATCCCGTGCGCGGAAACACCCACACGGTCGAATGGCCAACGGAAACCAGAATCTTCGTCAAACCGTGCCAAGGTGCCCACCAGTCTCTGAAAGCTCCGACTCCCTCCGCACACCACCAGCTCCTGCCATCGGCGTCAGTTTACCTGACTGTGCAGCCAGCGTCTGGTTTTATTGTCAGACCCCTCGCAAGGGGAAAAAAAAACCTTTCCACTCCTCCGTCAGCCAGCATCTAGAGTCAGCAGCCAATAGGGACGGCAAATGGAACGTTGGCCTTTATTTCGAAGGGAATGGAGCATGAAAGTCGGGGATGTTTTACTAAAACTACACAAGGCTCCACCTAGATCACAGCTGCAAACAGTTTTGGGGCCCCGTATCCAAGAAATGATAGACTGGAGGCAGCCCAGAGAAGGTTCGCTCGGCTAATCCTGGGTACTGTCTTATGAGGGAGAGGTGGAGTAAGTTGGACCTGTACGTGTTGGGAGTTTAGAAGAATAAGAGGCAACCTGATTGAAATAGACAAGATTTTTAGGAGGAAATTGACAGGGGAAACGTGGAGAGGCTGTTTCCCCTTGTGTGGGAGAGTCTAGGACGACAGGATGTAATTCGAGTAAGACGTCATCCATAGAAGACAGAGATGAGGAGGAATTTCTTCCCAAGTGGAAGTGAACCTATGGAATTTTTTACTGCAGAGGGTGTCGAGGATATTGAAGGCTGAGACGGAGGAACCAGAGGGGAAAAGGCAGGAAAAGTGGGAGTTGAAGGTCTCACGGAGCGGCCTGGATGGGCCGAGCGGCCTCCTCCTGCTCCCACGCGTCACGGACCCGTCCCCTTCCCCGACAACCGTCAACTCGCCGCCTCTTGCCAAACCGACAACGCCACAAGCCCCGACTTCGCTAGCACCGGTGACCGCCATTACTCACCATGGATGTCGCTGGCCGGGCGGAGGGCCCGAGATTGGGGACGGTGTAGCCCGACCCCAGAGTGGCGACCAGCCCGCCGTGAGGGGAGGGGCCTAGGAGGCTGTGGAGGTCGCCGTGCCCGCTGGCCAGGCCGGACGAGGGCCCGACGGCGTGGTTCCGCAAGATGTGAATGGCATCCTCCAATCTGTCCAGGCGGTCTTCCATTCGGCTTTGCTGCACAGACCGCACGCGCGAGAGAGAGAGAGAGAGAGAGACAAGCCGCGCGCGCGCGAGAGAGAGAGAAGACAGACATGTGTGAATCTTCCTAAAAGTACGGTGGAGCAAATCCCCCGCTCTCCCAGTAACGCAGCCGAAAATCGCTCAGAAAGTTACCCGCTATTGAACTTTTTCATCACGCATTCGCCAGGACACATGCAAGAATTCACAGGATGTGGGCGTCGCTGGCTAGGCCCAGCATTTATTGCCCATCCCTAAATGCCCAGAGGGGCAACTAAGAGTCACCCATATCGCTGTGGGTCTGGAGTCACGTGTAGGCCAGACCTAGTAAGGATAGCAGTTTCCTTCCCTAAAGTGAGCCAGATGGGTTTTTCCCAACAATCAGCAATGGATTCATGGTCATCATTAGACTCTTAATTCCAGATATTTTTTATTGAGTTCAAATTCCACCATTTGCCGTGGCGGGATTCGAACCCGGGTCCCCAGAATCTCTGGATTGAAACAGTCCAGCGATAATACCACTAGGCCATTGTGTTTTTTTTTAAGAAAAGATGTGGCATTTAAGGGAGGCAATCATTTGCAGAGTAAGCATTTATTGCCCATCCTTAATTTGCCCCAGTGTGGCAGTCAGCTGTATGTGGTCTGGAGTCACGTGCGAGCCCAGAGTGGGTAAGGACACCAGATTTTTTTCCTTCCCCACTTAAGGAACCCTTGACGACAATTAACCGTCACCATCAGGGCGACTTTTTTGTTCCAGATTTCTTCCCGAATTCAAGTTTCACCAGCTGCTATCATCGGGTTTGAAATCGGTAACGTTAGTCTGGGTTTCAGGGTGATATTGGCACAATGTCCAAAATGTCAAACACTGTTTTGTGCATCAACTGCATGTGAAAGTTGGCTTTCTTGTTCCTGCACACCTCAATTTCCCAGCAAGAGTCAGGGTCCGCACCACAGATTGGCCTCTGTAAAAGGGACCTAAGGGGCAAATTTTTCACACAGAGGGTGGTGCGTGTATGGAACGAGCTGCCAGAGGAAGTGGTGGAGGCTGGTACAATTACAACATTTAAAAGGCATCTGGATGGGTACATGGATAGGAAGGGTTTAGAGGGCCAAATACTGGCAAATGGGGGGGGCTAGATGAATTTAGGATATCTGGTCGGCACGGTTGAGTTGGACCAAAGGGTCTGTTTCTGTGGCTTAGATCTCTATGTTGACTGGAGGGATGTGATTGCGCTGGAGAGGAGGGCATGGGAGATTGACCAGACTGTTACCTGCGTTTGAGAGATTCAGCGATGAGGAGAGAAAGGATAAAAGCTGGGGTTGTTAAAACCTGGAGAAGAGAAGACTGATTGAGGTGTAAAGTGCTCTGACAGGCACAGACAGGAGATAGGGAGAAACCTTTCCCCTTTAGTAGAGGGGTCAATAACCAGGGAGGGCAAGTAAGGAGTGGGGGACGTGGAGGGGCATTTCAGGAAAGATTACTTTTCACCCTGACGTCGAGGCTGGATGCCTCGAGATATTGAAGAACCGCTTAGAGATGGGCACAGGAAAAGCCAAGGCTGTAGGCCAAGGTGTTGGGAAACGGGGCTAGAATGGACAGATGATTGGTGATGGGCCAAAAGGCCTCATTTCAAGCCATGAATGCTGCAACCCGTACAAACTACACAGCTCGTGATTTCCCTGCTCCGACTATAGTCTGCCCAAGTCCAAGGGTGCCACGTTGAAACCGAGTCCTCCACTATCCCATCATGCATCAGTATCACTCACCACTTTGTTTTATTTCAAACCAACATCGCAGCTTAGCTTAACAAAACTAAAACCTTCCCGAGGCAACATCAATACATTTTGGACTAAGATGCCAAACTACACGGACGTTGGGTGAAATGCATGCCAACTGTGGGAGCTGGTATATGCCACATGCATCGTGAGCTATACTTCTGACTATCATGAGCTGACTCTCAAACCAACACCCTGCCCTTTCAGCTTGGGTTTTGTTTTTGATACGACTGTGAGGATCTCAAAGAAAGTCTGAGGGAGACTGACCATCAACTCGCCTCAATGTTACAGGCACAGAATGTCTCAGCGGCACAGAATTTCTGCTCTCTCTAACCTAGTGTTCTCTTCATACAGTGTACAGGGAGCTTTACTCTGTATCTAACCCCGTGCTGTCCCTGTCCTGGGAATGTCTGATGGGGGGGACAGTGTAGAGGGAGTTTTACTCTGTATCTAATCCCGTGCTGTCCCTGTTCTGGGAGTGTTTGATCGGGGGGGACAGTGTAGAGGGAGCTTCACTCTGTATCTAACCCCTTGCTGTCCCTGCCCTGGGAGTGTTTGATGGGGGGTGGGACAGTGTAGAGGGAGCTTTACTCTGTATCTAACCCCGTGCTGTCCCTGTCCCTGGGAGTGTTTGATGGGGACACTGTAGAGGGAGCTTTACTCTGTATCTAACCCCATGCTGTCCCTGTCCTGGGACTGTTTGATGGGGGAGGACAGTGTAGAGGCAGCTTTACTCTGTATCTAACCCCGTGCTGTCCCTGTCCTGGAAGTGTTTGATTGGGGGGTGGGGGGGCAGTGTAGAGAGAGCTTTACTCGATCTCTAATCCCAGCAGAAGCTAAGAACAGCCTTGCAAAGTTAGAGGAAGCGGGAGAAAATGCAAAGGTGGATGCAGAGAGAGAGAGAGAGATCAAATGAGAGAAACTGGAACAATTAGTTAAAGCATCACGCACCTCTATCGGGACAGAGGTAGCATTGTGGAAGTGTTCCTTCAATTGCTGCTCTTCCAGGAGTTTCTAAAGGGATTAAAGTTGGTGGGGGTGGTGGGGGCAGTGGGAGATTCTGTTGGAAAATTAAATAGCCATGCCCAGCAATCTCTACAAGCAGAGGATAAGCAACAGATGTGGGCAGGGAACAGGGTTAAGATGCCATCTGAAAGATTCCACCTCTGATGGGGGCATGGTGCCCCAATTCCATCCTCTGCCAGCCCCGCACATGTTTGGGCTACACCCCCAACCCACCCCACAGCAGGTGTTACAACCCTGCCTCCCCTTCAACCTCCAACTGAGGCCAGTCAGCCCACCCTGTGTTCCCTGCTGGGTGCCACTCGTAGCAACCCAGAGGGGCAAGAAGAGACCCTTCAACCCGACGGCCCTCCTTCTGTCCCCTCGCGGGACACAGACATGCTGGTCGGCCATACCCAGCAACGCTTCCCCCACTACCCTGTCCCCGTAACCCCGCATTTCCCACGGCCAATCCACCCTAACCTGCACATCCCTGGGCACTATGGGACAACTTAGCATGGCCAATCCACCCTAACCCGCACATCTTTGGACTGTGGGAGGAAACCGGAGCACCCGGAGGAAACCCACGAAGACACGGGGAGAATGTGCAAACTCCACACAGACAGTTGCCCCGAGGGTGGAATCGAACCCGGGTCCCTGGCTACCCATGGCTGATCCAGTTGGCACAGTGGGGTGGGGGGGTTATAGACATTCCTGCTATGCCCAGATCTCGGTGTCCAAATTGTAACAGCGCCAGGCTAGTTAATTCGCCACTTACCAGGGAGTGCAAGGGACTCTCGTAGTTGGGTGAAGCTGTATTCTGCACTGCAGGCCGGGACCACTGCGTAGAACCTGCCGGGGAGAGACGTACCAATTAACATCACACATACCCTCTGCTTTGTCGTATTGGTCACCAGAGTAAGTCACCTCTGTCGTTACAAACAACTGTTAGCAAGACCCGCTCAATCTCCGCCAGCTTAAAACACTTCATCGTTTGGAGCCCCCTCCTCTCCACCCCCACACCCCGCCTGCCAAAGGTGTTTCTCAGCCTCCGCATGCCGGGTGTATACACTGTTGTGGCTATGCCTGACGGAGCGGGCGCTGTGGGAGGGTCAGCGCTGAGGGAGCGGGCTCTGTCGGAGGGTCAGCGCTGAGGGAGCGGGTTCTGTCGGAGGGTCAGCGCTGAGGGAGCGGGTTCTGTCGGAGGGTCAGCGCTGAGGGAGGGGGCTCTGTCGGAGGGTCAGCGCTGAGGGAGCGGGCTCTGTCGGAGGGTCAGCGCTGAGGGAGCGCGTTCTGTCGGAGGGTCAGCGCTGAGGGAGGGGGCTCTGTCGGAGGGTCGGTGCTGAGGGAGAGCTGTGCTGTGTAGAACAGTAGCGTGTTTGGGGTTGAACTATAAACAGTGAGAGCTGAGGGAGAGGTTACAGTCGGTCGCTCAGTGAGAAATGTGGGTGAAGTCATCACTGTGGCATGCTGCACTTCCTCCAAATGACATTTTCTTTCCACAGAGATGAATCGCCTCAGCCCAGCTCCCCCCACCCCGCGTTTCCGCAAACTTTCCAACATTTCCCCTCCTCCCATCCCACCCCCACCCCCAATAAATCACCCCCATTCTCCATTCCCTCAAACAACCTCTACCCCCAATTCCCCCTTTCCTTCTCCCCTCCCTCCTCCTGCCCCTCACC